CTTCAGATCTCATCTCCTCTCCTCTGGCTTTCCCGGGAGACAAAGGCTACTACTCTTCTCATAGTCTAACTTCCAGGAGTCAGTGACCTTGAGCTTGGTCAACAGTGCCACTTGCTCTTGGTCTCTCCCTGAGCACACAAGGTACAGGAGTATCGAACAGCTTACGCCCTGACGCACAAAACCTCGGTCTGTTAGGACTGCATGTCTACACTGGACAAGAAGTTGCACATTGAAGGAGACGAGCAGATGAAACATCTCTTCTGCTGCTGCCTGAATGGGGAGGGTACCCATGTGGCCCAGCTGGCCTAAGAGATGAGCACCAGAATTTCCCTCTGGTAAATGTGATAAAGTCAAGTCCTTCCAATTTTAAGGCTTAAGTATGAAGTTTGAGATAACATGGGGCAGTGAAAAGACAGTCTCTGGGGTCATGTGGACCTGGATTGCATCTTGGCTCCACTTCTTGCTCCCTGTGTGATCCTGGGCAAATCACTTTGCCTTTCCTTCTGCATTTTTCATTTGTAAAATGACAAGGAGCAGGGGGAGGCAGGGAGCGGGGAGGCTCATGTATTACCATTAAGTATAGTGCAAAGGAAAGAAGGTTTTGAACTTAGAAGACCTCTTTCTAATCCCAGCTCTTCTCAAATGTGATCTTGGACAAACTGTGTAACTTTGTTAGGCTTAACCTCCTCCATAAAGTGGGGCCAGTAAGCCCTAAATTGTATAGTTGGTGTAAGAACAGAATGAGTGATGTATGGGAAGCACCTATATGTAAGGTCTAGCACAGAGAAGATGCTCAACAAATGGTAGCTCTTTGGCTACCATTGCTTGGGTTTTGACTATCAGTGATTCTGTATTTACATGCAGGACAGTGACATCTAGGGGCAAAGTGTGATATCATATCTCAGCTCTACCAGACACAGGATTAATCATCACACAGATGGACCCATGGTAGGATGATAACCACACAAGCTGCATTAAGTTACCAAAGCCTGGCTTACAGTAACTGTTCAACAGCTGTCAGCTACTTCCCATTGTTGTTTAGGGCAGGGATCAGCAAACCGAGGATTTGGCCCACTGCTTGTTTTTGTAAATAAAGTTTTATTGGAACATAGCCATAATCATTTATTTATGTTTTTGTCTATGACTACTTTCATTCTGTAACTCCCAAGTTGAGTGGTTGTGACAGGGATTGTATGGTTTGAAAACCCTAACATATTTACTATCTGGCTCTTTACAGAAAATGTTGGTTGCCTCCTACTTTATAGAAAAGGGCATTTCTTTATTTTTTAAAAAAGTTCAGGTATTTTGACTGATTCAGACTGGCTGCCTGCTAGGACCAACTCCTTGCTTGTACCACAGACACCATTCCAAGGGGAACACAGGAGTGAGTGGTGCCCCCTGGAGTTGTGCAATGCAGCAGCTCTGGCCTCCTGCCACCACTCAGATGACTGATGCTTCAGTGAAGCTCCTGTAAACCCCCTCTTGGCATTTTCCCAAAGCTGAGCTCAAATGAAGATCTGAAGGGATGGCCCCATGTTACTGTCTGCAATGACAGCAAGTCATATTTGTAGTGAATTTTCTTTGTTCTGAAAGAAAATCTGCTCCCAGAACAGAAGATTTCATCTCTGAGTTACTGTTCTTACCTCCATGCTGTAATATGGTCCTAGTAAGAGGCTTCTCAATTCAAGATCTTATGATTGGGATTTACAAAAAACAGTAACATGTTCTAAAAGTACCAGATAGGGAAGCATCAAGTTACCACTTGTCAGTATGTCCTGAATAGGCTTCTTTTCCTTTAATGTCTTTAAAGGTGTGGCCACATGGGGTAAAGTTTGTGTATGTGTCTTTGGGGGGGACATGCCATGGAGGATGGAGGGGGGAGGAAGGGGGAGCCAGGGGAAGAAAAAAAAGATAAAAGATTATATGAATAAAGTATGTGACTGCATTTACAAATTTATGTAAATCCAGCATTGGGCCACTAAAAAAAAAATTAAGAGGCCCACTTAAAAAAGGTCTAAACTTAAAAAATAAAAAAAAAAACAATAAAAGTCAACCTTGGCTGTATAAAAGGTTGGCATCATGGAGAATTCGATCCCAGTTTTGACCTGCAACTGCATAGCCCTTTCAAAACAATCTGGTTTCCAGCCTTGTGGTTTTGATCTCTGGAAAGTATACATTTCTACAGCTTTAGCCTCCTCTAATTTATTGATAAATGATACTCAGCTGCAGCTCTGCAAACCTGTTCCTGGAATAGCTAGAAAGCCTACAGCAAAAAGTTTCTCACACTGAATGATGTGTTCATCTGGCCATAATCATTTTCACAACAGACTAAACTGATGACCAGTCCTTGTACCCAAAGCCTTTGGCAGTCTCTCAGATAAGCCCCTTCCCTCAGCGCAGGCCCACCACTGGCCTGGGCTCTCGGCTTCGGTGGGCTCAGATCCCCAGGGATGGAGGGAGCCCCCGGGCTCAGGCAGTGCAGTGGGGAGCGGCTGCATCCCAGCTCCGCCTCCTATGCGCACAGCGTTCAGAAAACTGAGCTCCTGAAGTCTTCCCTGACATGTTTTGTCAATTGCTGCCAGACAACTGGCGTGTTCTTGTTCAGTGATCACATGAGTGATGGGAAATGCAGGCCAGTTCTTTATTACAGATAAAATGTGGATGAATCACATATTGACACAAAGGAATTAACACCCGTTCTTCAGAACCAGGATGGAGTTGTCATAAATGGCAGAGTATCTTAAACCAGAGCCACAGAGCAGGAGAGGCCCCCGAAGTCACTCAGTGTCTTGGTGCCTCTCCAACTTTGGCTTGCCTCAGCATCACCAGGAGGGCTGGTGAAAACACACACTCCTGGGCTCACCACAGGTTCCTGATTCTCAGGGCCTGGTGGGGCCTGAGAATGCATGTCACACAAGCTCTCAGGCGATGACAATGATCCAGCCCGCACTCTGAGCAGCCCCGACGTAGACCTCCAGGGGAACTCTAAAGGCTCCCGATGCTCAGCTACAGCCCCAGAAATGTGATTTCAACAGGCCTGGGCTGGGTTACTTCTTGCAGTTTTCAAAAGCTCCCATTTGACTGTAATGTGCAGCCAGGGCTGGGAAGGACCAGGTGGCTAGGTTTCTCATACTATAGACAGAAGGAAGTTGTCACAAATGCTGCGGAGGCCCAGCCAGGTGGGGGCCCTCCAGGTGAGCACAGGCAGTGGGTGACAGAGCTGGGCTCTTTCCTCCCTCTAAATGCAGCCCACGGCTTTCCTGAGCTGGTCCCAGTATGGGGTGGGGGCAAGAAAGGAGGAAAGATCCCATCATGTGGAGGGCAGCTCCCAAAGCAGCCCCAGCAGTGAAGAGGCAGGTGGCGAGTGGTACCACTGGGCACCAGGCAAACTACAGCTCAGGAGACAACACCGTTTCAGTATGTCCCCATTTGACAGATAAGGACACAGAGGCTCTGAAGGATGAAGAGAGCTGCCAGGAGACCGGTCAGCGGCGAAGCAGGGAGGATCAGCACAAGCTCCGCTCTCCTGCTGTGCCCACTGGCTTGCTGTCTGGGCTCATGACGCAGGCCACCAGATGGCAAACACAAGTTTGGGATGAAGAATCTGAACAACAGGCACTGTATTCCAAAGTGGGATGAGCTCTCCATGCAAGGTGTGCAGAGGAGACGTATGTAAACAGGTCAGACCCACATCAGGGTTTAACAAGTTGAGTGTGTGTAGTGGGTATGGGGTTGAATCAAGAAGAGTTTTGGAAATCTTATAGCATCACGACAACTATAGGAATGGGGTGAGAGGAAGGGCCAGGCTTCTTCCCTGACCTCAAACCAAGAGGGAGACTTGAAGGAGAAAACTCAAATAGCTTGACTGATAGGGCTCCCCGCAGCCTGTGGGCCCCAGAGAATCGATGCCTCCCTGTGAAACCTATAGGAGGATGCCGGTGGGCCAGCTGCTCGGGGGGGCAGAACCGCAGAGGGGCAGCTGCTGAAGGGGATCCACACCAAAGCGCCCGAGTCTGTAAGAGCGAAGGGCCCGCGGGTGCTCCCTGGGCTGCAGCTATGGGCTGAAGGCGAGGGAGGCGGCCCTGTCCAAGACAAGCTGGAGGAGTGAGGTGAGTCCGGCAGTAGGGGCACAGCCCATGCCTAGGAAGAGTCCCCACATGGCCAGCTTCAGGTCAAGGGATTGCAGGAGAGAAAGTCCCAGTAATGGATGGCTTTGAAAAACCCACAAAAATACCCCATGAGAGTCTAAAGGGTTCAGACTCTCTTAGTCTCTGCCAGGACTAGCAAGCCCAGCACCAACTCCTGGCAAGTTAGGTCTTCCCGGCCATTCCACCACTCCAAGCGCCAACTCTGAAGGGCTTGGAAACCCTGATGGGGAAAAAGCTCAGGCTGGCAAGAGAGAAAGGCTGCCCCCTGGTGCCCCGTCTCCCTGGCCAGGTGGCTGGCCTGCGGCAGGCCTGAGCTGGAGCGGGAGGAGATGCTGGGCCCTGAATGCAGGCTGAGGGCTTGGAAATTGTGACTGACTGCACATTATAGTTGGCTGGCCACAGGGCCTTCAAAGTCACTAGACTTGCCTGAATTTTCAACCAAGAGCAAGGGAAGAAGAGCACCTCCAGAGGAGTTAAAAAGGACAGTGGTGGAGAAAGTTTCTCTTTGGCTGCATCCTAAGAGCCATCCTAAGAGCTCAGTCAACATGCTGGTTACACCCACTCCCATGGGTGGCAATGCTTTCCACCCACATGAAGGCAGGACTCCTGTCCCCTAAGCGCCTCTTTGAAAATGGAAGCATTAAGTCAGGTCTGTGCCCTGCTGCACTCCCCTCTTCCAAGGGCACTGCATGGCCCATAAGCCAAAGTTCAGGCTCCTAACCGTGGCTCCTGCCCTCCCCTGCAGCCTCCTCCTGCACCCTGTCCAGTGCCTGGCACGCAGTAGGTGCCTAATAGATACTTGCTAAATAATGCTATATGAACATTGCACAAGAAAATATAAGGGGTGATTACCTTCTTCTTCATTTTCACATTTTTGAAGATGGCGTGGACCCTCCACGTCTTTGCAAACATTGCCCCAAAGGCAGTTGTGTAGCCCACAGTGAGGATCCAGGTCCTGACCTAGAGGCCATGAGAAGACAGAGGCGTTAACATCTCCTAGGTGGACCGGCCTTGTCCTTTATGACAGCATCCCAACAGCAGGACGCTCGATGATGGAAACAGATGCGCTACTTACACCTGAGCTTTAGAGCACCCACGGGCCTTCAGTCGCATCTCACTTGGATACACGTTCACTTCTCCCGGCCACCTGCCAGACCCAGGGCCCTGGGCCTGGAGGCATGTGAGATTCAAATCCTGCTTTGGATGGGCCACAGCCCAAGAGGAGCCAGTCACAGAGAGAGGCACCGAGGGCCACCAAGGGACCACCGAGGGGTGACAGACCAGCCCTCTGGCCTTCTCTCTCTCCCTCCCTTCCTCAAGAGTCTTCTATGTGGGAAACAGACCTGCAGAGGTACACATAGTTGCTCACTTCTCTATCTCCTCACCTGAGCCTATAGGAGACCGGGTGGCCCCAGAAGCCTCCTCTATGGGACTCCCAGCTCCTGAGCTGTGGGCAGAGGGTAGGGGAGGGCACTGAGCACAGGGGCTGAGACTGTAGGAGAATGAGTCTTAGGGCTCAGCAAACCTGCTCCTCTGGCACAGCAGGGTGAGACTCAACCAGAGCTGGCATGAGGGGCACCTGGTGGTGGAGGCATGCAGACCAGCTCTCAGCCATCATGAGGGGCTACTCAGGGGGAGAGATCAGAGGAGAAGAGCTATGGCCTCCCCATTCCTACCCGGGTCTGTCTCCTTGGGCCTATGGAGAAAGAGGAGCAGATGCTGCCTGGGTCCTGCCTCCCAACCCCTCCCCAACGTGGTCAGGCCGGTTGGCTCTTACTGTACTGCGTGACCTCAGGAGTTCAGTCAGCTCCAGGCCAGCCTGGCTGCTGAGCCTACTCTTGGATTTTGGGTGTCTGCTCGGCTCAGGACTATGGCCCTACCTGGTTCTCACCTGTTCCCCAGGACTAAATCCTCAGCCCTGGTGGCTGATGGGAACTTCCAGCCCTGATAGGAGCACACAGCCTGGATCCCTGCAGCCTGGGGTGGCCCACAGTCCCCTGTCAGGTCTTGGGAGCCTCCTGGACGCTCACTTCCCATCTGCACTGCCATCACGGCCAGACCGTAGTCTCTCCAGATTTCCCCCTCACCAGCCTGCCTGGACTTCCTCCCGCACCCAGGAGACTCACCTAGCTCCAGGCTGGGCCCCACGCCAGAGCTCAGCCCTGGGCCATGTGCCACAAGTTCTGGGGCCTTCCATTTGCTAGAGACAGAGAAGCTGCGTGCTCTGTGAGGCCCAGTTCTAGGCTTTGGTCTTTCTTTCCTCTGCTCTCCCTCAGCTCTGCTGAGCTAAGTTCCTGCTGAAAGGTCCCCACCTGCCTCAGCTGAACACAGCCGGAAGGTGGATGTGGAAGGAGGACGAGAGAGACAACCAGGCTGGAGCAGACGGGTCAGGCCCTTTGTGGCCAGAGGCTCTGCACACGGCAGGGCTGCCCAGCCTCCAGGCCTCCTCCAGCCCAGCGCTGCTGTCAGCAGGTGTAGGAAGTTCCCAGAAATGCTCCCGGCTGAGTGCCTGCACTAGGCCTTCCTAACAACCTGGCTCTCCAGCTTTTCAGAGACAAAACATTTCCCCTTTCCATTTTATTTGTAAAAATAGGAACTGGATGGATAGATGGCAGGGCCAGCCCCCTAAGGGAGGATGACAGCATCCCAGCGCCTGTTCAGAAACACAGGCGTGTGAGGTGAGCGTGGTGACAATGGTACAGGTGGGGACTTAACCTTCTCTTTTTCTCATAAATTTCAAAAATAAGAAGAAATCAGACAAGCAGGAATGAATCACAGTACTTTAGAGAGGGCGTAGGAGGGCCACATTATTACCCATATTATAATACAAGGATGCAAGAAAAGTAAACAGAACAGAAAGGTGGGGGCTGGGGGGTGGTCATTATTACCCATATTATAATACAAGGATGCAAGAAAAGTAAACAGAACAGAAAGGTGGGGGCTGGGGGGTGGTGGTGAGGAGCCGATTCTTGAGACTGGAGACCTGAGCTCATTCAGTGACCAGACCACACATTCCTAGGCTGTCAGAGTTGCCCAGGACCTTACAGTCACTTCATAGCATATCATATTATTATCAGATCATTCATCTGTTCATTCAGTAAGTATTATCAGGCCACAGGCTAGGTATATAAATGATAAAAAAAAAACAAATGAAACAACAAAAACAAAGGTGATTTTTGGGAGCCATCAGTTGACTGGGAGAGCCACTTCGCAGATGAAGAAACAGAAACTCAGAGCGTTTAAGGTATTCCTCTCAACCACGCCACACAGCTCCAGCGCTGAGCCAGGGGACCCCACGCCTTGTCCCAGCCCAGCCCCCTCCCCCCTGCTTCATGTGCCTCCCCCTCAGATATTCTCCTTAACCCAAGTCAGGTCGATCCACACCCAGGAGTCAGCCATCAAAGGGACAGGATGCAGCGGGGGGAGGAGCTGGCCAGCCTGAGACACTCTCCTGGGCGATCGCAGCGTACTTTAAAGCTAATGGGTTGACGCAACTGTTAAGAAATGCTTCTGAGCATTTCTGACCATGTTCTCCTATCAGAAAAATAACTGTAAATGTGAGCATGTACAGAACATGGAAATTTAATTTAAAAAGGGACAGTAAGAGATGACACATATTATTTTTAACTCATAATGCAGCAGACAAAGGGCTCTCATTTTGGGTAGAAGTGTCACTCCAATGTGTGTAGCATTCTTGTCTATAGTTTGACTTCTGTTTTCTTTGAAGTATCATTTTCAGACCACTTGCCTATTTTGTACGGCTAAATTCATTATGACTCAATAATATCAATTAGTCAAGTTAGTTGAAACTTGATTAATATAAATTTAACCTGGCATCCGGGCAACTATGTTGTCAGAAACTGAAAGCAAAGAACGGCTGAGGCTGCCTGGGCAGAAAAGAGTGAACAGAGCAGGCCTGAGACTCTGTATCCTTAGAAAGGCCTGTTGGTGGGGTTGGCCTTTAAGCTGGTGTCTGGGAACTTGAATTTGGGGAGGTTCCCACCATTCCATCAACAATAAAAGTGACTCTCTGTCTCGGAGCCGTTTGCTCAAACGGTGCAGTTTATGCCGCACACTTGCTTTCCTTCTCAGTCTGGAAATTTGTTATGTGCTCAGCAGAGGGTACCTAGGTGACAGGCCCTCAATAAAAACCTGGGACACTGAGTCTCCAGTGAGCTTCCCTTGTAGACAGCCTTTTAGACATGTCACAGTTTGTTGCTGGGGAGTCGAGCGCATCCTGTGTGAGTCCACTGGGAGAGGCTTTGGAAGCTTGCACCTGCCTTTCCCTTTTGCTGATTTCGCTCTGTCTTCTTTCTCTGTGACAAATCACTGCTGTGCATACGACTCTATGCTGAGTCCTCCCTGTGAACCACAGAAGGGGGGCTGTCTTGGGGACCCTCAAGACAATGCCCCGTCACGTCTGGCGTAACAGACTGACCACACCATGCGGCATAAGAGTACAGCACACCCCCAAATGGGCCAGGGCCCCCAGGTCAGTCCAAGTATTAAATCTTAGTAAAGCTTATTTTCCTTCATTGTTTTCTACAGTTAAAAAAATAAATAAAAGCTGGACTATATTCTTCCACAAGATGAGCCCAGTGGGTCATCTCACGTACTGATGTTCCCATCCCACCTGGAGACAGCTTTTCAGATGATGATGAGATAGCAGTAGAGGAAAGATCCCCAAAGCACAACAGTGGAACCCCATCAGCCAGCTGCCCCCACCCCAGGCTGGCGTGGCCTGGGGTCATCACTGGGCCAGGCCTCTGCCGAAGCGATGTGTTATTTCTCTCTTCACTCCTCTACCATAATTTAAAGATGCAAGTGGATCCTAGGGCTCAGTCCTGGAGCCTCTCTGCCTCTAAGGTTCTCCTGGGTTATCACCCTCCCTCTCAGGCTTTAACCATTTTCTTTGTGTTGACAATTCCCATATCTTCCCAGTTTGTATCTCCCTTCTGAACTCCAGACTTGAATATGCTACTGGGACCAGAGACCTAGGTGACACATAGGCGTCCCATAAAACCTTCACACTCCACAGCCAGGCTGAGCCCATCAGCTCTTCCCCTGAACAGCTTCTTTTCCTACTGACCTAAGGAGTGCTGTCACTGTCCACCTGTCACCCAAGTTAACGCCCTGGAAGTCCCCAGAGAATCCCCCCCACCTTTACCTTCCCATTCAATCCCTAGCCCTTTCTTTCTTCCCCCACCATCTCTCAGACCTGGTCTCTGCCCTTCCCTGTGCACCGAGAGGTGGGGCCCCATGCCTGTACCTCCTGGGCTCCCTTGCCCTCTGGCCTCGGCTGGATCCGGAAGGTGCCACAAGGAGATTAGAGGGAGCCAGGAGAGAAGTAGGGTATGTGCTCCCTGCTACTGTGTGTCTGGCCATAGCTGTGTCACTTCCCATGGCTCAGGTTCTTTCTGTGCTCAGGGAAAGCCTCCTGTCTCTATGCTTTCAGGCCTAGGAGAGGTGAGGGCTTCCTGCCATTGCTAGATGCTCTACACCCGAGTTGGCTTGTTTAACCCCACCTGCATGACTATAGGTAGTCCGGCACTAGAGCCTTCTCACTTGAACTAGCTGGGTGGGCTCTGTTTCCTGGCAGGGCTGTGCCTAACGACCCTCTCACTCCCATATCCTGTGTTAGTGCAGCCCTCCTCTCTGTGCCCACGGTGCCACCGATATTAGTCATTATGAGCAGGGGCTCTGCACTCAGATTGCCATGGGTTCAAGTCCTGGCTTTGTTACCTACCACTCCGTGAACCTGGGCAGGCCACACAATCTCTTAGAGCCTCGATTTCCTCATCTATGAAGTGGAGATCACAATGATGCCTCTGACTTCACAGTGGTTGCAAAGACTAGAGGTGTGTAAAGTGCTGAGGTTCTTAATCCACATCTGACTGTTGTTCTTGTGTTCCTTACCTCCAGCTGGTCCTCCTGCCTTTACCCTTACCTCCTGCTCACCC